AAAACAAATGTCTCAAATAAATTAAAGAATAAATATTCACGAGGACTCCTTTATGGCCTTCAAAAATCATAGTCAAATTATTTTTATTTAAAAAAAAGTTCATAGAAAGTTTTAAAAATTCGAATTTTTAACTTTGTTGGTTCAAAGGATAGTGACATTTGTAATAATCAAAAATTCGTTTTTCTTTATATTTCACATGGCTACTGGGAAGAAGTSTTGACGAGAACGTAGTGTTTATCCGTCTCTACCTCAAGGACGTATAACTTTTTGAATCTTAAATCGATTGATTTTAATTCCCAAAAATCGCACGAAATATTAACCGTCGGAATCATATGTTTGTATTAACCAAACCGCAATGAGAGCGAGTTTAAATAATGAGCATGCATACATACATACATATGTATGTATGTACGTTGTACGATTTTACATACAAATATACCTAATTACATGTATTTATTAAACTATACTGACAAATTMCGCGTTAATGAAAATATGAAAAAGCAATAACAATATACATGGCTACTTAAAGCCAAAAAGAGACGGAGTGGCGCGAAAGCATTGAAAAACTCGCCATTGAAAGTCTAGCAAACAGAAACTGATAAGACCGATTATAAACGAAGAACTAACAACTATACCAAACAACATAGACAAGCGACGAGGGAGATATAGTAAAGCCGAAAAGCGCCAAAATAATGCTGAAAATGTTATAAGGAATTGTCAGTTGTTTACGCCAAATGTGAAATTTACGTTTCATGTGCGCGACCAGCGATTAGATTGCAAACAAATAATATTTGGCGCTCATTTGACATTTTGCGTTTTGTGTTTGCTATGTCTTTGCTGTGTGTTATTCTATAGTGTATTTTTGGAAGCATTCCGAAGATCGAGAGCGACGAACGAAAGTTATATTGCTGCTTGCTCTTCTTCGTGTTGTTGTTTTTGCAGTCATCGAACAGGTAGTAAGTAACTTTTTATTTTTTTACTTTTATTTTTTTACTTTTATATTTTTACTCATATTTTTTTTTTTGCAGTTTCTGTTTTGTTTTCGACGTTAATTCGTTACGAGTTTTTATTGCTTTTTATTATTTTTATTTTTATATACAAAAATTTCGGTTTCTCTTATTTTACGTTTCTTTTTTTTTTTGAAAGATTGCCAAAAAATTGGGCGCGTTGATTGGTGACACTAAATATATTTGTATCTTTACATGTGTATGTGTGTGCGTATTTAAAAACATAGAGACAGCGGTGACATGGCGGGTCGCAGTACAGCCTCAGTGGAGCAGAGCAGATCGGGCAATAATTTTCAGATTTCCAAAACAGAAGCATCTTTGTGACAAACAACGGGCATACAAGTGATGTCGTGTTCGTAATAAAACAAATGTGTATGCCTGTATGTGTGTGCGCTTAGTGTGTGTTTATTAATGAATTATTTGGCGCGTCAACTGTACGCGGCCGGCTGCTGAGCTGAGTGCATTCAAATCGAATGAACTTTATATTTTTTATATTGAATGTGGCGTCGAATGCAAATTAAATTCTCCAAAAGATCATAATTTATATTCTGCCATTGACTTTAGCTGCAAAAAGCCAGTAGATTTTAATTTTTTGTATGCAGTTTTGGCAATTGCTGGCAATTTTTTTATTAAATACCCAAATTGAAAATTTAAGTTTTTTTTTTATAATAGATATGATATTTAACTTTTTATATACATACATATGTATGTATGTATGTACACTACATATAATACTGACATATCTTAATTTGTTAGGTAGAATTCATTCGCCTATACGCCGCGATTTCTGTCGCTGCTAATGAGCGCCTACCCATTTGAAAAACTATTTCGCACCAAAATTTTAAAATTTTATATTTTATTGATAGTTTCAACTGCGACAGATAAAAATTGCGAAAAATATTGTGTAGTAAAARTAATACTGTTTCAGCTTCAGCTACTATACAAACAAATATCTGTAGATATGTATGTACATATGTATATAATACATTATAATGTTTGTTATATAATATAGAATTACATAAAAATCGTGATTTTTAGCAAAAACAACTACAAACTAATTTTATAAAAAAAATTAAAAATATAATTTATTAAAATACCGATATTTTTAATATTTATTGAGAAGATGTAAGTCCAGAGAGTCGATATTATGGAGCACCTTTTGAAAACGAAGAGCGATATCAGTGTATGTGTAAAAAAAATATTAAACTTTATATACATACATACATAATCAACTTCCAAAATTCTAAACGCGGTCTTTTTTCGAAACACTATTTTCTGAGTAGCTAGGAAAAATTGTTCGTAACGGCTGTACCGTAATWTTGATAATAAATTCGACTTTCGAAAATGTAAATTTGGCCAAGAGAAAAGAAGCCATTTTATTTATCACGAACCTAAAATGTTGACCAGCGTCCTTATATTATAACCTATAATCATATATTGCAGCAAGAATTTTTTTTTTTTGGTTTTTGAGTTTGGGATAATTTTAAGCAGAAAATSTTTTACTTTTTTCGGAGCACTCCCTAGAGATCGACTATGGAAACAAGATAATCACAAATTTTTCAAAATTAATCACAGATTATTTTTATTTATTTATTAAATAAAATGACGCTTCAAAAATATTTAGACAAACTTTTACAAAAAGTCTGATATTTTTCAGATGGTTCAAAGAGAATCAATTATACTATATACATACACACATACATATRTATAAGATCTGATTATTTTTTGTTTTTGTTTTGAGACAACAGTTAGTTATAAAAAGCCGCTTTATTAGGTTAGGTTAGGTTGCAATAACCCAAAAAAATCAATTGATCTCAATCGGAGARATATTTGTACTTTTTGATAGCCATTAACTCCTACAAGTGAAACACCAAATCATTTCTATATATCAGTTATTGTAAGATTTTAACCTTGGACGTGTTTTGTTAGTCTACTCGACTAATAATATTCAAGTTTTGCAAACAGCAGCAAAATAACGATGCCCGTCCAGAGTTAATTTTATTTTGGCCAAATAAACAGATGAAAATTGTATCAAATGCTGCAAAAACGAAAAACTATTTTCTCATAAACTTTTTTTYTAAGAATTTAACTTTTTTCAAATATTTTTAGTTTTTACAAAATATTTCAAAATTTTGAAAAAACACTATTGTTGATTTTCTTAAACAAATCAATATTGTAATCAGTCGATAATGTGRAGTAATAATTATTTTTAAACCGCTAATCGGTACATTTATGTTTGCACATTAATTGATTCATACGCACATTACACACTATACATACCTACATACATACACACATACAACTGAACATAAGCCGCATGACCACTCAACACGCTCTATAAAATTGGCAACAGCGACTAGCAAAACAAAACTAAAGAAATTAATAATAAACGTAAAGGAAATATGCATAGCATAGCGAATACTCTGACAAGTAGAATGTGACAAAATCATTTGCCATGCTGTCGCTATATACAAAACAAACATACAATAGTAGTATGTTTGTATGGTGTGTAAGAATCTTGCACTTCTCTCGATAGTTTGTTTGCGCTATAAAGGCCCGCCAAAAATGTCTTATTGACAAAATCTTCGGAWAAGTGCGTACGCGCGCCAAGTGTGTTGTGGCGGCGTTTTAAAGAACTACACAACACACCGACACACACTCAAGCATGTGGTTGTAGAAAGGCTGTGCGATGTCCGGCAAGATTTTAAGGCGGGAAAAAATTCGGGCGCGAAAACCAAACATCGACAGAGACATGTGCGTTTGCATTCGGACACAAAAGTATTTCACAACCTTACTCCAAACGCCAAGTGGCATGAAAGGAGCGGTAAATACAAAAATACAAAAATACATATGCTACTTATGTTGTATATGGGTGCACAAACAAAACATTTACGAGCGCGTGTGTGCGCATTTTGTATTTGAAACTGAAAGGAGGACACCTGAACGCAGAAAGACAGCACAACTTGTCTCATACAAATGTGATTTTTGGCGCCCAAAAAGAAAATGCAAGGCACCTACAAACATACATATTCCGGGTAGGTAGCAATGTGAGGATCCTAGTACGTTGTATRCGTGCCCGTAAATGCAATCTCAGTGAGTGCACCTTGCGGCAAATTAAATTTTATCGACTGCAGTGCAAGTAAGCTGCCAARGAGATTGATGTATCACGAAGTACATAGATACGAATACAAATGTATGCATGTGCATTTGTACGTATGTATGCATGTATCTACTTACTATGTAGCACGAAATTTGGTGCTAAAAGTAAAGTAATATTTGGACTACCAGAACCTGTATACATACATATGTATGTACATACATATGTATATGTATTTTTAGTAGCCCTAACATAACAAATTGATTTCAAAATCAATTTTAGTTTGCTAAAATTAATTTAAAAAATGAATTATGTGTAATTATGAATTTGTTTTTTTTTATATTTGTTTTTAATTTTTTTGCTGTATACTTGGTAAAAAATTTAATTTTTTTTTTTCGGTTTGAAATAAAGTATTTTATTTAAAAACTCAAAATTATTTGGTTGCATAAAATTGAAATAAATTCCAAAACAATTTCTTCCTTATTAATCATATATTTTAATCGGAAAAAATATATAATATCAAAAAATGTATAGACATCAATATTTAATCAAGAAAAAAATTCAAAAAAAATTTTCTTGCCACAAATTTTTGAACAAATTTAGCGTAAAAAATAAAAATCTGCTCCTACTAAAATAATGTCATGGCAACACTACATCTTTAGTTGCGTAACAAGGGTTGAAATTGGAAAATTTGCGCTCACTACTGTGCACTTCGCGCGTCCTTGCAAGGAAGTCGCTGCGAACAAGTAAAAGGAAATGGCAATAAATCAGGTGTTTGCAAAGTTGCCATATAATCAACAGCAATTGAATAAAAATTTGATAAATATGACACAAGTTGAATATGAAATATTTTTATTGCAAATTTTCTTGGAATTAAATTTAAAAATACAACTTACCAGTTATTAGCGTTTGCGTAGTGTAGGGTTTGTAACGTGCCGCTTCGTTGGCCGTTTTGGTGTTGGTACGTATGGTGTGAAGCGTTGGTGTTTTCTCAATCTGCCTCTGTCGCATGGTCAACGCATCATCATCGTCATCGTTACTACTCTTTTTTTGTTCAGGCTTATCATTTTCATTTTCAATTTTTTTATTTTCTTTTTTACACGCCTCCTCCACTTCCTTGGCAATAAGTTCGGGTAGTTGTCGTTCATTACTACTTGGCTCAATTGTACCAATGATTTTATAATTATTCAAACGTTTTAGTTGACGGGCATTTTCAATGTCGAAATTACGCGCCATTTCATTCTGATCGGGTGGACCGAAGAGGTTTCTACGCACACCGCCAGTCGGACGCTCTGGACGTGTCCTAGCGCTTTTAGCACTGTAACATAGTATTGGATGAACTTGGCGGGGTGCCATTTCGTTTATTGCTTTACACACGATTTTCTCACTTTCCGTATAATAACGTTGATAAAACATGCACAAAAATCGTTTCAAAATTTAATTATTTTATATTATTTTCTTTTTCTTTGCTCGTACTCTGACAATAGTTAAATTTTTCACACTTTCCACTTGCTGCGAAAAAATCTCACAAGAAAATTGAAATTTTCACTGCATTTAATTGCGTTTTTATGTCGTGGTTGTTGTTGTGCCTATAATGTTTGCCGCTATTACTAGTTATAATCGCTACTAAACACTTGCTGATTCTAACTGTAATTGTAGTTATACTAATTTTACCACAATTGCTATAATTGGCGATTTGTAAAATAGTATATGAAAGACACACACACTCACAGATATGCTATGCACACATATACATACATATATATATATGCATTTAAAGTCGCGAGCGTAAATTTAAGCAGCACACTTCACCCGAATGCGGTTGAATAACGAATGAAAAATTATTCCTACTGGCAGAACAATGGCGACCACTCAAACCATATCAAGGCGAATTCATGCCAAGAAACCATTTCAACATGTTGTACCCCGAGCTACAAGTAGCCATCTCGTTCACGCTGCTAATACGATTCAGCGCACTTGCAGGGTTGCATGGAAACGCGTAATGGAAGTGATTTGAATAAAATTCACCTATTGAAAATGGTAAATTTAGAGATTTTGTTAGATGAAAAAATAGAATTTTTATTTTTTAATTTTTTCGTGCTCTGTGGAAATGTGATTTACATGAGAATGTGCTTCGTGTGAAAAAATACTCCAAAATCAGTTGTCTTAAGCATTTTCAATTAAATCGATACCTCATTCAGAGAACGTAAAACAATTAATGAATTCCCTTGTTGAAGTCTTTCAGCTCTGTTAGCCGTCCAATTGAGAATCATACAAACTTCGATTTCCACCTACTCATTGTTCTATGTTTTCTTGCTCATTGAAAACCAACGACACTAAGCAGTATATAGTAAAATGCAACTCTTTCCATTTCCTCCCTTGCTTTTAGAGCGCTTTGATTTACGCTTTTTTCGGGGTGAACGCTCTTATAAGAAAGTTGAAGTCATAATTCTAAAGAAATTACAATTTATTTAACGAAGAGGACTCTCTTCTTCTTACTCTTTTCTCTCAGATCGCTTTTATATACCATTTTTTGATGCAAATTCTCTCATAAGTTTCCACATAGCAAGGAGAGTTCACGATGTAGTTGTGTCTTCACACGCTCTGCCGCAACAAAAAAATACGATATGCCGATTTTCGTTTTCTACGTGCTTCGTATACACAACACACCACACATTTACGCTCTAAGCAAAGTGACTAAATGCGCTGAAATGCAACACTTCTGTGCGCTAAGAAATGTTGTGTGTGTAAGCGAGACAAGACCAGAGACTCTATCCGTACATGTTGTATGCGACATGTTGTATGTGACATGTTGCCGCAACTTGTTGTAGCAACAACGTGCGGCGTGCGATGTTTGCCACGCAACTTCAACGTTAGGGTAAACTTTGTAAACAACAATGCCGCCTTTGTTTTGATCGCGCATTTCGCATTTTTTGCACGAATACGAGCACGATATAAGCTTTTTTGTTGTCTTATAAAAATTTGCAAACTCATAAAAAATGTTTTTTGTTTTCCTCTGTTCTTTCGCCAATTACCCAGTAGCGGCGCGTTATTTACATACTTCACATGCTCATACGTGAATTTGTATTTACATATAATTTAGCACATATGGCATGGTAACGCTTTCTTTCGTGTGCCGGTTTCATTTTGTCGGCTTTTTTGGTAAGCGTTTTTTTGCGCTTACGCGGTTTGTTGTGGCCACTCACTCACGTGATTTCGCATGCTTTCTGAATATGCGGTGTACTTGATAGCGTTTTGTTTATTTATGATGCAAAATGTTCATAATTTGTATTCGAAAAGACGCAACTAAGTGGAAATTAGCTGCTGCAGGTGAGTGGGTGAATGAACGGTTGCTCTTTTTTAACAGTTAGAGGTGCGAATTATGACGAAATTTTTACACAAAAAATCAATAGATGATCACTGCATAAAAACCGACAGAAGGTCAAGCGTTCAAAAATGTTTGACTCATCGTCCATGGCTTCAATAAATAGACATATGTACATACTAGTATGTATGTAATGTCATGTAGTTATGACTAAAGTTAAAATAATATACATATGTATATGTATTTACAGTTCTTTAAATATATATTATATGTATATATGTATATCTTTAAATTCATCATCGTTTACTTACTACTTACCACACCACACACCCTACTTAGTTAATGCTTAGCCACCCTGCATGCACCCTTAATGTACGCCAGGTAGATAGTGCGCACATTCCAATCAGCGTTGTCATTGCACCAGCACCGCGCAGTTAACACTCTTCCCCGTTGTGCTTAACCCTCGCGCCAAAATGTAGCGTCCTGGCGCAAAATCCAACAAAGCAAAGACGCACAGGCAAATTGGCAGACAAGTAAATTGGCTGCTGACACACGCACTGCGCGATTGTTGCCGACCCAATATGTTAGTGTTGTTGCAATTTAGCAGGATATTTCCTTTATCCTCTGCACTCCTTTCACTTTGGCCTTTGTTCATTCACTTTGCATGAACAATGAAATTTCAGCTTTCGTTCGTTTGCAGTGAACGAGCAAAAAAATCGAAATGTTTTTATTGAGGTGAGGTCTTGCATTCATAAAAATATGTAACAACGTACATGGAAACCTATTTACCATATGTATGTAGATACATCGGTTGTGGTATTTACATGGTATCGGCCATTATTTGATGATGGCTAAAAATATTTTTTTATTATTTTATTTGTTATTTGTGATTAGTGTGTATTAACTTACCAAAATTAAAATAAAATCTGTATTATTTTTAAATTGTTGCTATTCTTTCTCATACTCTGTTTATCTTTTACTTATCCACCTCTCTCTTTAAATCACATTTCTATCGAACGTACATATATATTTTTTTCACTCTGCAAAATAGGTTTTTAGACATCTCTAGCCTAGTTTTCGATAAAATCAGCTGTTCACTCGATTATTTCAATAATATGTGAAAAAACGTGAAAAATCAGAAAGGAATACTTAAGAGATGACATGGCTAACCTCGAAATTGGAAAAATCGTGTATGCAGAGATCTACGGATCATTCTGAGCAACTTTGCCTCAGAAAATATGGGTATAAAACTAGTTTCCAGCTTTTTAAGACGGAGTTTTTCAGGGATCATAAAAATGTGTTCGTTAGTTTTTGAGGTATTCAAATTAACTTTAATACGTTGGTGCAATTTATTTCTATCGACCATTTGAGGGAATTGGTCACATCGGAAAACTATATCACATATCTCCCATACAACCGATTATTCGGATTTTTTAAAGTTCGCCTGAAACTGATCGCACTGAGGGACTACAATTTAAAAAACTGTAACTCAAAACCCTTTTCAGTTAGCGTTTCAAAATTTTAGTATGTTGTTTCTTAAAGATCAATAAGTCATCCTAACAGTTCTAATTTTTTTTAATGCCATAAATATCATCATACATATTTTAGTTAAATTCATGGCCAGCACCGTGCGAAAGTTTCTCTGGAGCGCAGTCAAATAAAATAGATTACAACTTTTGCAGATTATTAAGCAAATAATGACCATAAAAATAGATTCAGTGCATTCTAATAGATACATATATATATGTAAGTGCGAGTATGTGTGTGCCTGCACTGCATAGTACGTGCCGCTGGCGCACAGTTGGGGCTTTCAGCGCCTTCCGGTTACGCTTACTTCATTACGATTGCATACATTTGTATGCGTGTGTATGTCTGTGTGAGTGCGCTAGTGTAAATCGATGACAAAAAAGATCATTCATGGTTTTACGCCACATCCGAACGCAGTGAGTAATCTGCGAATGCATTCGACTGACGCCCGACTGTGCCATTGAAATGGTGCGTTGGCAGTGCAACAACAAAAATTAGTGATAAATGTAGAGATAGTTCAATACAATATGTGTGCGCATATGCTTTTCTATACTTTCTGACCGCCTCCCTGGTGTGTGTGCGTGTGTTTGTCTCAGCAACAGCAGGAAGAATGCGCTTGCAAAGTCAAATCTATGAAGCCAGAAAGTGCAAAATCCGCAAAAACGCAAAATCACGCGTTGCAATAAATGTGCAGCTACATTGTGGCACTTGAATTTGCCTGCATACACACACACACATACACATATAAATGAATGAATGAATGAAGTCGAGTAGGTGCACATGCGCACGGCTATCAGTTGCAAATTGCCAGAACAGCAGTGAAAACAGCTGTTGAAATGGAAATGCAAGCAATGCTGGCGTCTGTTTCGTTTTTTTTTTGTTTTTTTTTTTTTTTTTTTGCTTGGCGATTTATTTCAGTTTTTGTTTGATATCTGCTCACACTGCAATGCGTGAAGGGGGATTTGCGCGTCGCCTGTTAGGGATTTTAATTTGTTTCTATGCACGTATGGCTAATTAATACACGCACCACCACCATCACCAACATCACCAGCACCAGCACCATCGTCATCATCATCCTCACAACCAAGCCCGACACTGACATTACCCGGCAGCACCAGGCAATGTAGGGGTCGCCCAACGCGTGCTTCCGTCGCGTCGCGTCTTTTTTCGAGCATTTGCACCCATTCGCCACTCTAAACTCACATAAACGGCAATTTATGTGAAAAGCAGAAATGACATTTTGTTGCAGCAGCAGCAGCGCTCTGGTGCAATCGTCGCCCGACTCGTCATTGGGAAATCGTCCATGTTGGCAGTGACAATGAATGCGACAAAAATGTCAGACGCCAAGGAAAATGACAGCGCGCGACAACACAATGCTAATGACGGCGTTGACTGTCGCAATAATGATAATTATGTTGCGTGCTCGCAGCGAAAATGGAAAATCAAAATAGTTGCGGAGCACATTGACTTTTGGTAAGTGATTGTTTCAGCATTTTAGTAGCACACGCTTTCTATTTGTGGAATTAATATGAAATTTATTTTTAGTAGAAGAATGCGTTTCCATTGCAAACATGTGTATGTATCTGGTATATGTATGCTATAAGTATTAGCCGGGTGCCATAAGTATTGGTGGCGGATCGGTGTTATCAAACACGAGCAAGGAAAAATGTGAAGAATTTGTTTTTATTGTTTGTCGAGCAGCTTTTTGGAGAGAAAAAAACGTTTGAAAATTTTCAGATTGATATTTTGAAAAAAGGAAGGACTAGTTTGCATATAGAAGCTCGCTAAACTGATCTTATATATTATACATATTTAAGTACATGTATATATACAATATTAAATATTTTTTATAGGCTTACCGATCTTTCCTTCTGTGAAGAAACTTTGTAGCAAACTTAATATACCGTGTACAGGAAATGAATATGTAAACCTCGGAATATAGGTCTAAGCGGTAATATTTTAAGCTGAGTGGAATGTTGGAA